ACGGAAAGATCCGAGTCAACTGATCGGCTGGGAAGTGTACGGAGCTCATTTCCGTGGTTAGTACAAAATCAGCGCCCAAAGAACCCGTGTCCATTACTCTTCAAGCTTCTAAGGCCCCTTATAGAAGTTGGAATGGAGCCAAAAAACTGACCAGGTAAAATTTTGGAGCGATGATAATGACAATATTGACAGAGACGGTGAGTTGAAGTTGAACGAAGGATATAGTGAAAAGTGTGTCACTATGCCCGGAATTGCGAATCGAATACCTAAAAAGACCCAAATTGATGGGAATGGTTTTTGAAAAACTTTTAAAAAATATTAATAATTCTAGAAAATGTTGGACCTGATAAGATTTGCCATAAGGGTTATGACAGCTTCCAAACATACGGCCACAGTGAATTGCCATCGCTCTAGCCAGTCGCTGTTACGAGCCTTTAAAGAACAAAAGTTGTGGTAGGAGATGAAAAAGAGACTTGGGTTGGAACGGGGGCCTAGCACAAACCTTGTAACAGAGGCGCATTCCATAGAGCAGAAAGAGCAGCTCGTAACAGTGCCAGATGACATGCCAGCCTTGCATCCGGCACTGAGGCCATGCAGTCCTCCATAGCGCCGGATCTCCCCAAGACCCTACTGTCCAAGCCATTAAACCTGAAGAAAAACCATATCCGGCATGCTTGAAGAAACAGATGAGAGAATTCGGGAAATGATCAGATCAGCACAGGCCCCAAACTAACCCGTGATAGTTAGAGCGAGCATTCCGACGAGGTATTTCACCATGTCTTTTTCCCTAACGGAGACGTGTTGCGCTTTCCTTACGCGATATTCTTGCAAGTTTCTGAAACCACACTTTACCTCAACAAAAGTTGGCCAGCAGGAGAATTCCATAGCAGATTCCTTACCGATATATCTTGAGCACAATGGATCCGTAAAAAGTGCTGAACCCGATTTGCCTCAACCATACTGCCACGCAACATCCAGCTTCCGGTGGAGCGAACCAGTCGATGAGCAACTGAAAAAGTAAAACGTCTGGAGAAGATGGAAAGCCTTTTGCTCGTCAAGTAATGCAGTACAAAAGAGAAGAACATCAGTCAACATTAGTCCAACTTGTATAGAAAGGGAAAAGAAAGGAAGAAAAATGGGAGGAAGCCTCTACGTGACCATATCACAGAAAAATATTCAGGCGATCTCTATGGTGTAGGCAATGTAATGTTTCTAGCAAAATAAGGTACAGCCAAGGTTCTGGATTTTACATGATACTTGTTACATTTTCTCCTAACTCCTTGGTTTTTTTTTCATAATTGTATGTGGGAGAAATTTTCGTGGGAGTCATACTAGAGTAGTTGAAAAAGTCTTTCACGAGGTCCAACCATCATTTTCTTATTGGTCCCATGATTTGCCATGTGATCCTGTAAGCCATTCTCAAAACTCCCCAGTCATATGCCCACATGAATGAGTTGCCTTCCTTAATTCTGATCACAGAGCCGTTTCTGAAAAGCTCGAGTCATCAATTCTATGAATGGCATCTGAATAGGATGGCTACCGTTCGCAACTTTAACATAGCATGGGAAGAGAACAACCTTCCAATCAGTCGCTTGCAGGAGGAAACAAGGACTTTGAAAACAAAGCTCGGGATGCTCCACAAAAAAAGTTCCATCAATCCCGACCCATCAAAAAAGTACCGAAGGTGGGAAACCGCAACCCTAGGAATAGATCTGCATGTAGTCATCCAATAGTCTCAAGACGCCTCCAGACACTTGGATACAAAAAAGAAATGGCCAATTTATTTAGGTCTCAATGATACCGGGGTGCAACCCAAGTACCCTGTTGTCGATTTCCCATTCTAAACCCTAAAAAAGATTCTGAATGACCTGATTATTGAAGATGAGAGTTGGTTGTTCTCAGTCCTGACTTACGTCATGCCGTAAGGCTCCCCCGAGCTGGAGATTCGCTGAGAAGGCCAAGCCGCCCCTTTGCCCTTGAAGTGTCTTGTTTACTCTTGAAACCGCTTCTGTAAACACACCGCTACCAGTAGTAACATGTGAGTCAATCAGCTCTAAAAACTTGCGAATGTCCTTTGAGAAAAACGGTCTGCTGCCTGTTCACTAGGCGATTGCGCTACATTCCATATGCGCCTGAGCTGATACATGATTTAAAACCACACTACTCCAAAGGTAATGCCTCATCTGACTTATTTTGCCGCTTTTCCTTCCTATGGGCTTTCGCCAACGATAAAGGCGATGGATATCCTCAGTCTTGCAAATTTCGAGCGAACATAGTAGCTGACCTGTCGACCAGGACTAACCAAAGGTAGCTATAGATGGTAGATTCTACTGTATCTTGAAAAAATGGCCAAGCAGAAAAGAGTCAAAGGTTAACGGCTTTCTCACTAGTCTAAAATTTGAAGGCTTATCAGACATGTCTCAACTTCTCCTTGCTCTTCCATCCTGTTATTCTTTCCGTAAATTAAAGATAAGGATAAAGTCTCTTGACGTTAATCAATCCCGTCTGAGGGATTCGCCACGCACTCGACTTCCATTCAGAATCGTAGTGGCGTAATGAGTGTGTATGTGGCCTACGCAATGACTCGTGGTGGCCAGCCGAGGTACAAGTCAGTGCTTTTATCGTCCCGGACGAGTCTGGTACCAATAAACCGACCCCGG